GGTCCACTGGTGGAACCTCTTCTAACCGGTTCGGTAGATTTGACGAACCGGTTCTACCGAATAGGTGCGAACTGGTAGGAACCCACCTCTGGGCCGCATTACTAGTAAGTGGCCCATGGCTGCAGGTTTGACACACCGGCTTTAAACGGTCAGCTCTGTAAAAGTCTATTTCCTGTAATATTCTACTTAGGTTTCCTTGGTTTCCAGTTCTACAACCTCTCTTTTGCCATGGGTTTCAGAGAAATTTATTATGTGAGAAACCATTTTTTTAGGGCTCAAACTTCTTGTTTCGTGTGCAACCTCAATGTATGGTTTTAAAGTTGCAGGAATGAGTCTGGAAGCAAGTAGGATCACCCTTCATAGGACATTCTAAAAAAATACAGGCCTTTGTTTCATCCTGGGACCTTTCTTACATTAGATCCAAGAACAAGGGGTGGAGACTGGGTGGGCGGGCGTTAATCAAATTCTAAGTGGGCCCAGGCGATGCCTTTTCATTGTAAAATACCTTTTCGAAAGACTTGAAACTGTCTGTGTGCTCTTTGTCACATACAGATCAGGCTTATTTAAAACAAAGGCCTATTGACCTTCCTAACCCCTTCTATGCCTGTGGCAGCTTTCAGGATTCATTGTTTGCTTTTAAGTGGGTAGGTGACACTTCTCGCCCCTTTGGACTTTCAGTTATCTTCATTCATCTTATCAACAAATAAGAGAGGCTTCCTTTTTTCACCCCCATATCCCGCCCCAAATCGCTTTGCCTTTATCTATAGGCTGCTAGTATCAATCTCCTATTAGATTTTAAAAGTTATAAAATACTTGTTAAGGACATTTGAGGGCTGTTTGCATTCTCTTTCTTTTTGATTATTGGGAGATGCTGTGGTCTTGGATTTTTTTAATAGGAGCATTTATAGGATGGTTTATTATTTATATATAATATCAAAGTTTTTCTTTTTTTCTTTTCTTTTACATACATACTGTGCTATTAGGAGTGTTTGGTTTCTTTTTGGGATAAATAACATTGTGCAAAGCACAGAATAAGGAGTAGCAAACAAAAGAAATTAGAAGTTCCAGATTAGAGAAGAAAAAAAAGCCTTCTAAATATATGAATTTAAACAGCACTTTTAAAATGCTCTGCAAGTCCATTTTCTTGTAGGTGAAATCAGTAATTGTGTTGTTCTGTTCATTTCTCAGTTATTGTTCACTTCTCTATTTCAGTTGAACCAATGCTTATATAGCTTGCTGCTATGAGAACTTTACCTAATATCTAATGAAGTGATTTTTAATTTTTTTTTTATGTTTCCCAGCCTCAGTCAAGATTTGTACCCAATCTACTGTTTCTCAGTAACTTTAATGACAGGCTACACAACTTACCGATCTCACTTAATGATTAGTTATTCCCCATGTTGTTTCCACACATTTAGGCTTGTTTATTTTCACTGCTATGTTTCCTTTCCTTCAGCAAAGTGAGCTGAACTCCTTCCTGTGGACTATAAAGAGAGACCCGCCATCTTACTTTTTTGGTACCATTCACGTCCCTTATACTCGAGTCTGGGATTTTATCCCTGAGAATTCCAAGAAAGCCTTCCAGAACAGTCATATTGTCTACTTCGAGCTGGACCTCACAGATCCCTACACAATCTCTGCTTTGACCAGTTGCCAGCTCCTACCACAGGGCAAGAACCTTCAGGATGTGCTCCCCAGGGACCTCTACCGCCGACTCAAGCGCCATTTGGAGTATGTCAAGCTGATGATACCTTCCTGGATGACTCCAGATCAACGAGGCAAAGGCTTATATGCAGACTACCTCTTCAATGCTATTGCAGGCAACTGGGAGAGGAAAAGGCCTGTTTGGGTCATGCTAATGATGAATTCTCTGACTGAGGTGGACATCAAGTCACGGGGTGTACCTGTTTTAGATCTCTATCTGGCTCAGGAAGCAGAACGCCTCAAGAAGCAGACTGGTGCAGTCGAAAAAGTAGAGGAACAATGCCATCCATTGAACGGTCTCAATTTTTCTCAGGTAAGGATGTTCATACTGTTCTTTGATAAACACATGAAATACTCAATCTGTGCTCTCACAATTCTTCGCTGGTAACCTTTTCTTAGAGAAATTGAAGAAGCTAGAACATTAGGTCAGCTTTTTACCACTGAATACCTTCGTCTAACATTATAAAAGAAGGAAGCAGATCAACAGAATAAATACTATAAAAGTAGAACAGAAAGTGCAGTCCATATGACTGCTTTTATTGAAGTTCCAGCAAAATAAACCGTATCTCCTGTTTGAATAATAATATATTTGTTCTAGGAATACAGTGTTGTTTTTTTATTTTTTTTATTTAAAAACACTTTTTACACATGTATTTGAAGTTACTTTTCTGCTCAGGCTTGAACTGTTTCACATTTCCCTTGCTGTGACTCTGCAAACGTGTACAGATCTGTCAAGTATTTGTCCTAAGCCAAATGTGTAAAGTGAGATCCCTAACACCTTTCTGTTTAACAAACTGGAGTTGCAAGCAAGGTTTTTTTTCCTTTTTAATGCATGATTTGGGTTTCTTAAGAGAATCACCGAAGCAGTAGGTGTTAACTTAAATGGACTCCAGAGGATGGTAGAGGACAGGAAAGCCTGGAGGAACACTGTCCATGGGGTCGCAATGGGTCGGGCACGACTTGGCAATTAGCAACAAACCCAAATCTATCTTTAGCTGGAATTGCAGAGTTGCCATGGTTAGAACCTGTGCAATTTTGGGAGAAGATATGGGCCCGCTCTAAAGGATTGTAGACAGGTTCTATATTTTGTCTTTTAAAGTGCTGCACAGCCCTCAGAGTGACTATTTATCAAATAACAATGCATTTGTCAAGGCATGCTAATTGGCTATGATTACATATCAAGTATGCTCATGTATGCTTCACCAGCCTTCCAATTTCTCCACTTGGCTGGCTAACCAAGAGAAATCGTTTTTATGTTTAGGTTTTTTCCTACCCATGATGATATTGAACTGCAATACTCATCAACTCTAGCCCAAATGGCCTGTGATGAAAGACTTGCAGTCAATATACTGTATTAATCATCCTGGCGTTGACGGAAAGCTGTAAAACAAGGCTCCATCCAGCCACCTCATTCTCTGTCGTCCCCTTCTTTTGCCCTCAAACTTTCTCAGCATTAAGCTCTTCTCCAGTGAGTCCTTCCTTCTCATTTAGTGGCCAAAGTATTTGAGTTTCATCTTCAGGATCTGGCCTTCTAAAGAGCAGTCAGGGTTGATCTCCTCTAGGACTGACTGTTTTGATCACCTTGCAGTCCAAGGGACTCACAGGAGTCTTCTCCAGCACCACAGTCCAAAGGCCTCAATTCTTTGGCACTCAGCCTTTCTTATGCTTCAACTTTCACAGCCATACAATGCAACTGGGAAAACCATAGCCTTGACTATACACACTTTTGTTGGCAGGGTGATATATTTGGTTTTTAGTATGCTGTCTAGATTTGGGTTACAGAGTTGCAGACAAGTGCTATGTATGCACTTCTATGTTCTCCAAAGCACCTTTTTGCTTTCAAATCCAAATTACTGCCCTATTGTTGGTATTGGGTGCCTTACCACTAAGGACTTTATGGGAATGTTTGAAAAGATACCTGTAATTCCAACAGAAATTTAAGAAAGGATTTATGTTACGGAAAATGTCTTAGAATGCAATTTATTGGAATGTATATCTTCACCCCTCATTTAGCCCCGTTAAACAAGTACAGCTGTAATGCTGTTGCACGAAGACCTGGGGAAATGTTAACATTGTATATCTGCTAAATGATGCCTGAAATCATTGCCATTTCTTCTATGGAAGCAGCATGTTTGGAATAAGTTGAAATGTTTAATGTAAGCCCATCCTCTGTTGCTTTGAAATTAAGTACACTAAAAGTGCCTTACCATGATAACAAAATGGCATACAGTAGAGTCTGGAAACAGCCCCTGATGATATATTTATCAAAGAATCCCAGGCTTTCACATAAATACTTTTGTCTCTAGTGGTTTTGAAAAAGCCTTTCAAATTGCCTAAAATGTTGGACATCCTCTCCCAAGTACTTGTTGTGCAAGAGGTTGATACAGCATGAAAATCTGTGTTCATGGACATCTGGATAGTTTTAGGACATAAGTCAAGGCTCTTGATATTATCAGACCCAGTTTGTAATAAACCAAAAAGAGAAAAAATGTGTAATTTTGAAGATTTTTTTTAAAAAAAGGAATATACCTGATCTCCATTTTCCCCAAAGCTGAGGAAAAAAGTATTAGAGTTTTTTAGACTGTCTTTGTATATATGCTTTTCAAAGGAACTTTAAGCCCAAGCCTATAATAGTTTTACATTATGGTGAAAATTCATCCAGGGTTAAAAAACATTGACAATGGTATTTAGGACCTAGGGTATTCTCCAGGGGTGGGTTCCTACACGAACTGATACTGCTTCATTCGTGTGTGCGCCAGCCATGTGTTGCTTATGCATGGACAGTTCACTGTAAATGGTTGTGCGCATTAGCTAATTAAAAGCTAATAAACAAGATGCCAGCAATGCCAATGGAGACCAGGGAACTGGTTCGGGGGCATGGCCAGCCTGGCTTGCTTCCGGTTCTGTGCCCCAGGCCAGATTATCACTACTGGTTCAGCTGAATCGGGCCGAACCAGGAGCAACCCACCTCTGGTATTCTCTACAAAATTTAATCTAGTATTTTATATACTTACTCTAGCATCCTCCAGTTCCCATGGGTGAAGTAAGGGAAGACCTTAGGCCTGAAATCTGAAGGTTTCTCATGGAAATTTGCTAATGGGCTATTGAAGAGCATATAATTTCATTTTATTGTAAATAAGAGTTTTGTTAATAATCAAAGTCTGATGAGTCTGTGGTATCAAATTCATCACATTTTGGATGGGTGGAAGGCACACTTTCATTTTCATAATACAGGTAGTCCTTGACTTATGACTATAGTTGAGCTCAAAATTTCTATTGCTATGTGAGGCATTAAGTGAGTTTTGCCCCATTTTATGATCTTTCTTCCCACAGTTGTTGTGAAACTCAGTTTAACATTTTTTTATTGAATTATAAAGTATTATAATATACAAAATACAAAAGTAAATAGGAAAACAATGGGGAGGAAGAGGGAGAAGAGAAGTGAGGAAGGATAAGAAGAAAAAGAAAGAAAAAGGAGCATTGACTTCTGACTCTCTCTGTTGCAGTAAAATCAGGCATTAACATCAAATCACAACTTTTTGCTTTTTTAGAATAATCCGAACAAGCCATTTCTATAAAGATCTATCAATCTACTCGGTAAAATCTACTCTATTTGCCACAGTGGTTATATGAATCACTGCAGCTGTTAAGTGAATAACATGGTTGTTAAGTGAGTCTGGCTTTCTCGTTGACTTTGCTTGTCAGAAGGTCGCAAAAGGTGGTCACATAACCCAAGGAAGCTGCAATCATCATAAACACAAGCCAGTTGCCAAGAGTTCCAAATTTGATAACATGACAATGGGGAATGCTGCTGTGAAAAAATTTATGAGTCACTTTTTTCAATGTTGTTGTAACTTTGAACAGTCACCAAACAAATGGTTGTAAGGACTACCTGTAGTGTTATCATCTTGGTACTATACATAGTTTGCAATGCTGCTTTCAAATGAAGATATTCCCACAGATAGCGGCATTTACTTAATTATAGATCTGAATAGACATGAAAGTGTTGAGCTCTTATGTCAGACAGGGTTGGTCTGTCTTTGGCAGGCTATCTCAACCTTGGCAAACTTAAGATGTGTGGACTTCATTTCCAGAATTTCCCAGGCAGCATGGTTTCTGGTTTCCATTACAATTCTCTTTTGACAGTCTTATCTGCTGAAGATCTATTGTACTTCTGGAGGATCACAATGTATTCCAAGATGCTTTCCAGTCCAGTTATTTCAATTTACCATTGCTTCAAATTACCTAAAAGGGCTTCAGGGATCATACGTACCATTTTCCTTTGGTTATGCACAGCAAGGGAAAAACTGATTTGCCACTACTGTACAGTATTTATATTTTATTCTGTATTAATACAGCCAATATTTCCCAGGACATATTTTGAAAGTGCTTATCCTTGATCTCATGTTACCTGAAGTGGTACAATGTCACTCCTGTTTCAGTAGATCATAGAGAATGATTTGATGTTTTTGAGCATTCAGAAAGCATACTTGCTGCGTACATTTCAAAGCACATCTGAAGATTACATAACTGATTTTTACCAGGCTTACTCACATTAAAGGAAAACTATTTTCTCAGAAGGGGAGAATCATCTTAGATTTACTGAGAACATAGTACTGAAGGTAGATCGTGCCACCTTTTCTAATGGATCTTTCCAGACAGTGAATCTATGTTTTTTGAACACTAGAGGGCACATTGAAAATAGAATGTACAAGCTCTTGAAAGCAGCCACCCATTCTCCACATCTTACCATTATTGTTCATAGGAAGTATATTCCGTCTGTTGCTCTTTTAACATGGGAAATTATGGGTCCAACACTCTTAATGGGGCAAAGCAAAACAAAACAAAAAAAAAACCTTCCAAGGCTTATTGCTGTGAAGTATAACAAGATACCTGGTTTCAGCATTCTAATTTCATGAGAATGATAGTCTCTTATTATCCAACACATCTATTTTGGAATGAGTATTACATCATTTTGTGAAGGTTTCATAAAACAAGTTACAGACATAATTTGATCTGATTTAAACTTTCACTCACTTTCTGCCATATTTCTTGCCTCACAAAAGTGTCTAAAAACAACAACCAAATTCATATCAGGTCTAATTTTTATCTTCACCAGAAATTCGAGTAAACTCTGATCACAATATGTTTTAATAGCTTCTTGCCCCCCATGTTCATTTTATATTATTAGAAATCATGACAGAAGATGACACTGAGCTTTATAGGATTAATGTTCTGAGCACTGTTTTAAAAACAATATATGAAATTAATATCACTATCGTAATTTCAAGAAAAATGTGCACACATCATACA